CAGCCCGTTGTAGTTTTTTTCACTTGGAGCACGCTCATTCATGACTATCAAGGAGCTAATAAACACTAGAGAGTGTACAACGGAAAACGGATAAATAGTGGGCTATGCACGGCATATATTAATTTACTTTGCTCGAGTGCATTACGATAATTATATGGCATTGTGCATTAAGCAGAATTACTTTGCCTCTAAAACAAGATCAACTGGCTTGTCAAAATACGATACTCCTACGGCATGAGATATGGCGCGCCCTAAACCTCCCCTCTCACCAGGCCTCACGCGCCTCCCATCCACCAAATATTCACTATCAATAATGTCACAATATATTACTGATTAACGATAACAATGCGACAAATACACTACCGACATCACCGCCAAATGCACCATGGCCAGATTGCTTCACTGTCTGCTCCCTCTTCCTCGCGAGTTCGTCGTCGAATGCTCACTTGTCTCTCCCTCTCGCTTGCAAATGTCGTTGAATGCTCACTTGTCTTCTCTCCGACGCGCGCAGGTCTGCTGTTTGATGATACCTACACATGTATCTCTGGCGTGGAGAACTGATGCCCACCGCTACTACACGTTTCCCGCTCAGCAGTCCGTCGTTGAATGCTCACTTTGTCTCTCCCTCACTCGCACGCGTACGTTGGAATGCCACTTGTCTTCCTCGCGCGGCAGCCGCAGGTCTGCTGTTGATGGATACCTAACATGTATCTGCTGGCCGGGAACGAACTGATGCCCACCGTACTACACGTGTCCGCGCCGCACCGTCGCTTGAATGCCTCACTTGTCTCTCCTCGCTCGCACTGTCGTTGAATGCTCACTTGTCTCCCTCACTCGCAGCCCGTCGTCGTGCGATTGCTCACTTGTCTTCCCCTCGCTCGCCTACGTCGTTTGAATGCTCACTTGTTCTCTCCTCGCGGCCGCGCAGGTCTGCTGTTGATGATACCTTAAACATGATATCTGCTGGCGGGAACTGATGCCGCACCGCTACTACGACGTGTCCGCTCGCACCGGGGGGGTGGCCAGGCAACTGTGAGGGGGGGCACAGTCGTGGCTCTTTCCTCTCTCTCTCCGCTCGCTACCGTTGCTTGAATGTCACTTGTCTCTTCTCTCAGCGCGGCCGCAGCGTCTGCTGTTGATGATACCTAACATGTATATGCTGCGAGAACTTGATGCCGGCACCGTAACTACATCGTGTCCGTCGCACCGTCGTTGAATGTCAACACTTGTCTGCTCTCTCACTCGCGCGGAGCACCGTCGTTGTAATGCTCACTTGTCTCCTCCTCGTCTCGCACCGTCGTTGAATTGCTCACTTGTCTCTCCTCGCAACGCCCTCGTTGGAAGTTCACTTGTCTCTCCTCGCTCCGGCACCGTCGTTGAATGCTGCACTTTGTCTCTCTCTTTCCTTCGCGCGCGACGCGTCTGATGCTCCACTTGATCTCCCTCGCTCGCACCGTCGTTGAATGCGTCAGCTTTGTCTCGCCTCGCGTCGCGACCGTCGTTGAATGCTCACTTGTCTCTCCCTCGCTCGCACCCGTCGACTTGAATCCTCAACTTGATCTTTCTCTCTGCTCGCCTCACACCCTCGTTGATGCCTGCACTTGTCTCCATCGCCCAGCGCTCGCCGCAGGTCTGCTGTTGATGATACCTAACATGTATCTGCTGGCGGGAGAACTGATGCCCACCGTACTACACGTGTCCGCTCGCACCGTCGTTGAATGCTCACTTGTCTCTCCTCGCTCGCACCGTCGTTGAATGCTCACTTGTCTCTCCTCGCTCGCACCGTCGTTGAATGCTCACTTGTCTCTCCTCGCGCGCGCGCAGGTCTGCTGTTGATGATACCTAACATGTATCTGCTGGCGGGAGAACTGATGCCCACCGTACTACACGTGTCCGCTCGCACCGTATCCAAACACGCTCTCTCCATCTTCAACGACCACTCGGACGTCATGGCAACGCGTCAGACGGGTTTCGCGATGCTCTGCTCCAGCAGCGTGCAGGACGTCATGGACCAGGTGAGAGCGGCGCCCCCTGGTGGGGCTCGCGGGGGCGGCGGGGGCGCCCCCTAGTGGGGAGTCGTGGAAAGCGGGCGCCCCCCTAGTGGGGATCGTGGGAAGCGGGGCTCGCGGGCGGCCCGGGCGGCGGACGTTGGTTACGCTGGGTGGCGTGGTGAGCGTGGGAGGGGATCGAGTTTAAAGGGGCGCCGCGCCGTTGACTGCGATCGCGAGTAACACTAGACTGTGACCAGAGGCATTGGAAGGATTTGGCCGTAGCGTATTGTTTGCCAAATAAATGTAGGCTTTTCGCGTCTGAGTTCGAGTGTTAAAACGTGCAATAAATAACATATCTGATATGTTAGGGAAAAACGATCCGTATTATATTGATAATCAATATAATACGGATCGTCTTATATTGATAATCAATATAATACGGATCGTCTTATATTGATAATCAATATAATACGGATCGTTTTTTCCCGACACGGACGTTGTTAATCGAGTTTATTTTAATGTTTAATTTATTTACGGGTTTACATTTTTTTCTTACGTATTTATTTTGTTTTTGCGATCTATGTGGTTTAAAACTTGGACCTTGTTGTGACCAATGCCGACTTCCCGATTTCCCCTGCAGGGTCTCGTTGCCCACCTCGCCTCGCTGAAGTCCCGAATCCCCTTCCTGCACTTCTTCGACGGCGGCCGAACGTCGGCGGAGATGTCGAAGATCCGACCAATCCAATACGAGGACATGAAGACCATCTTCCCATACGTGAGTCGCGCGGCCACAACGTGCTGCCACCTGTTGGCGTTTTATGCGCGGAGAATTTGACTAGAATTTGAAATTTCAATCTGAATCTTGAAATAGTAATTTTAAAATCTAAATCTTTAAAAAAAATTCTAATTAAATTTAAACCTAAATAAATAAAAAGTGAAAATTAAAATGAATAAATACATTTTATCTTACTAATTGTAAATCAATCGAAATTAGGTATAATTAAGAAATAAGAAATTAAGGTAAATGAAACTTGACTTAAATAGATGCATAATTAATTAAAGAATTTAATCGAACGATTCGAAATCATCTCGCGCGGAAATAAAAAATCGAACGCACACGTGCACCGCTCACCACATCGTTTCTCTTCCCCACCACCAGGAGGCGCTACAGAAGCACGTGCGCGCGTTCGCACTCAACCCGACGAATCCGATGATACGTGGCACGGGCCAGCGCCCCGACATCTTCTTCCAGGCAACGGTCGCCGCGCACAAGTATTACGAGGCGTGCCCGGACATCGTAGAGGAAACCATGAAGGAGGTGGAGAGCATCACCGGAAGGAAGGGCGGGTAAGGGAGGAGGGGAGGAGGGGGAAAGAGATAGAGAGAGGGGAG